TGTCATGTTTTTGACCCCTTTAATTACTGAGCTGTAATGTGAACACAGTTCTGCCTCTACTCATGCATGGGGTGTGTACAGTTTGACGGAGGTGGATGGATATATACTTGAACTGGAATAGATTAACAACAATTAATTCAGATGACCCCTTACTGGATTAGGCCTGTTTGGTTCAAACTGATCATTATAAGCAGATAATTATTACATGAATGTAAAGGAATGAAACAAACGGCTTCGCTATTTACTGAAATATACTGACGGTTTGAAAATACAATACAGCTATTTCAAATGCTTTTCAGATTACTGTACTGTACTGTGTAAGTAAATTTCTGTACTGTGTCTAATTTAAATACACTGTACAGTAGAACAGTAGAGAGGACTGAGATCTGAAAATAAGCTGCAGGCTAAGCATGAACTCGTAGCAGAATTTGAAAACAAACGTATTGATAAAATATTCTGAATTTTTCCCCCATATGTTCTCACATATGACAAGACCCAAAATGAACAATGTATGTGGACTAATTGATTACTATTGATTACTACAAATTATTTTAACAACCATTTGTACAGGAATGATTTTGTCCCAAGCTTTTTATCCATATAAGTAATTGATCACTGTACTATACTTGAGTACAAATTAGAGGTACTTTATAATTACACTACATTTCAGAGTGAAATATTGCATTTTTATATAGCATTTTTACATGGTGGTTTTGCTACTTCACTTAGCTACGTTATTGAAGTTACTGCCCAGATTCAGATCGGATCTTGCTCTATCATTAGACATAAATCTGGAAACTTCCTGTGGGGTTGGACAAGAAACATGAGTTTAACATTTCCCTTGTCTCCACTTCTTTAATGACAGCTCTTCAGGTTGTCAGATTTGAATGGCTGCCTTCTTCTACCCAGTCATGCAGGGTTTAATCGTGCAACACCGGGTTTAATTAAGAGTTACACAGTTAATTGGATAGGGTATGTGTAAAGTACAAGACGCTATGCCACATCTGATTCCACTCCTCTCTATTGCATCGCATTAGTTTAGGCAAGGCTTCTGAGACTGTCAAGCTGCTGTGCTGGGTTAGCTCTCCCTCAGCTCAGGAGAAATTTTATCCAGTTTTAATCTGCTCAAATCATCAAACCTCGGCGCAATGCATCTTGTCTGAGCTGATTAGCTTGATGTGCTTTTCACAGAGCAACGTGAAGATGGGCCAAATGAATGACGGGACATTAATTTCTGTGTGATCCGCTGTGACGGCTGGGAGCTGATGAGCGGTCAGTCATCAGTTCTCATTAAGATGAGAACATGAACTATTTTACTTTGATGTTAATTCCTATTTATTTGGGCTTACAGCCTTTAATGCCCGGGTTATCAGTCATGCAGCCAGACAACTATTTTTATTGAGTGTAATTAAGTACTTTCATGGTGCTGATTCGTGTCTGATGTTTTGAGCAGGATGTTACCTCCTGACAGTGAAATAAATATTGAGGTTTACCACAAACCTTAAATAAAACACTCCTACCTGAAAAGCTTTGTTACAATATCTTTCTTACTAAAATGGCTTTGCTCCTTCATAGAAATACACACATGCTAGCCACGTAATATTTTTACTTGATAAATTAGTGCCAAAATGGCCTTGCTCAAGGGCAATTGCACAGTGGCTGTTAAAGGTGATAGAGATAGTAACTCATACACATAAATGCTCAAGCTGGGAAATTACATGCAGTAATTGACTGCTTGGAAGTAACATTCATGTTGCCCTACAGATGCCCTGTCTGTAACTGTTTGAAGTAACAGGTAGAAATAACAGTTCTGCAGTGGCAACGTTTTCCACAGAGAACAAATCAACAAGTTGCCATGCAAAGCATTTAGTAAAGTTTGCAAAGCAGTTGGTGTTTCAGGTTTAAAAGCCCTAAAAACCAACTGCAAAATATTGCATGCAGTGTTCTAAGATTTACAGAAAGAGACACATAGCTGACACAAAACTGTATTCTTTTACTACTATAATAGAAACAAATGCATTGCAACAGCAGGATGTTAATTACAACACCATTATCATTTAAAAGCAGTTTGGCAGCTTGCTGTTGACGGTTGTTTATTGACAGACAATTTAGCTTGTAGAGAGAAAAGCACAGGTGTAAAGGAAGTTAATAATGGCTTTTATCCATTTAAGTGTCCTAGTTAGCCGTGACAGAGAGCCAGTTAATCTATAGCTGGACACTGGAACTGGCACATTCAAATGGAATGTAGCCATTATCAGTGTTATTGATTGATTTCCTGCTAAACATGTTAAAATATCTGCTGTGAAAGAGCTCACAGGGCTTAAAGTAACTTTCTAAGCATTAAGAAACTTGTAACTAACACTTGGTAGCACTGAACCAATAGGATAAGGCTAAATGCAGTAGCCATAGATAGCCCAAGCTAGTTATTACTAGCTTGCAAGTCTCACAAGATCAACCTAATGATTATAAATGAACGAAAATATATTTTCTTTAACTTTGACCAGAATTTGTTGTCTTGTATACTTTGAGATTTAACAAATCAGTTTATTTTGTGACCTCATGCTTTCTGTGTCTGTTACCTTGACCAACTTTCATAGAAATCCCTTTTATGTGGCAGCAACCAGTCAACTGTACTTCTATAACTCCTGTGAGGAATTGAGAGGGCATTTTATAATATTTTAATCAAATCAAATTCAACAAATCAAATTAAGAGACAAGTGTATCACAAATTAGTAGTAGTTTGCTCTTCATTTCTGCCATTTTTGTCTGGTGACTCCTTATTGTTCAGTTAACTTAGACCCATATTTGTGTATTGAGTTAGAGATATTTCTAGCTGCTGCCATACAGGACCTGAATCTGCTTCTTTGTCTGTGCTGCTTTTGTCTATTGTGAATTGTAGCTTCAATCTGTACTGTAACAATAATAACTATTGTTTGTATGCAAATGTAAAGCAATTTCTAACCAAATCCAGTGGGAACAAAGCTTCATATAGCCAGCACTGACCTATATAAATGGTTATTTCTCTGTCTTAGACAAAGAACAGACCCTTCTCCCAGCGCACATTATCCTCATTAATGTCAGTATGTAATTGACTTGAGAGGGGAACTGCTCATTGCATACATTAACATTATGCAAACTCTATTAACTGAGTAATGTTCCATGAATTCACTAAAGTGCCTGCGTAGTCCTTCATCGTTCTGTGAGCCTCTATCCATGTTTAGTCCCCACAATGAGTGTATGGTTCTTCAAAGAGAGCAGGATGGCTAATTGGACTGCTAGCGGTTAGCAGATCTTCAGCTTCATTTGCACCAATAGCCTCATTATACAGAGAGCATCATGACCTCGAGGTCCTTGAAAAACACAATCACATTTGGAAATTGGGAGTATATGTGTCCCTATTTATAGCCTTATCCACCATCAGTGGAAGAGTTGAGTCCCAAAGTGTCGATGCTTTGCACTCAGTGATTCAGTTAATTTTAATGATGGTACAGATGTTTTAGCCTTTTGGCTTTGATCAACATGTCTGATGCCATTTTTCTAGAATACATGTGTAAGTAATGCATTGCATTGCCTTTTCATAGAGCAGCTCATGAAAGCTTATTAACTAAAATTGCTTTTTCTGAAAAATTATGCCATCCAAAATATATTTATGTACATGCTGTAAATACTGCAGAATGAATAAAGCAAATATTATGGAAGTTTATTGATGAGATTTGAGAGCGCACAAAACAAATCGCTATGTTTCTTTTTGTTGGAAGTTGTGCTGCAACTTGAACAATCAACCTGCATCCGGTTGATTCAGGATTATCCACAAAAAAAAAAAATTTTTAGTTCTAAAATCATGATATGAAAATTGTAAATTATCATATTAGCTGTGGATTATTTGGGAGAAAGTGGTACATTATTTCTGGAAGGACATGTTGCTGTTGAGTTGTTGAGTCATCATTTTTAATTTCTTTGAGCTCCAGAAACAGATTTCCATCCACTTGTGTTGTTTAATGTGAGATCATACAGTAAGTTTCAGTGAAGAATGTCTCAAAATCTCTGCAAATACAGACACAGATAGAGGTAAAAGAAAAGGTTATTTTGTGATTTTAAACTACCCCTTCAGTGTACAATCAGTGTACAAATAATGATTAATAGAGATTATAGAGTTTGCAGTAGACCTGGAATTAAAGTCTGAAACTGTTGTCTTGGTCATTTTTATATTCTCTGTGGAGAAACTGGATCAGTGAGGACTGTCACATGCAGACAGATGTGTTTATCTCCCTTAAAAATCACTGTTTGTGACAGAGCTGCGTGACAAAAGAAGCGTTCAGCCAGAAAAGAGATTTATTGACTTCCTTTAAAAAGTGACATGTGCTGTTACAAAATGATACATACCATTTAAACAAAGTAGGTACACTCTAAAAGCATTGTTCTTAAAGCTTACGCTCGTGTTCCCATGTTATGGGAACTTCTTTTTATTCTATAAGTATCTTTTGTATATTAACCTAGTCTGGTAAAATAAATCACCACTGTGTTAATTTTAAGGTTCTGTCTTACCTAAAACAACATGCTAGTCTCTTTTTAGGCCTATTTTTTAAGTTTTTAAGTTCTTAGAAATTATATTCTAGATATTTATGAGTGTATCTTGTTTAGACAGTGTATGTGTTTATAGTGTGCAGTTTGATGTTATTCCATAGTTGTTTGTAGTATTGTACAGTAAGTGCACGGAGGGTAGGGGTACACCGAACAGTTGAAAAATGTATTATAATTTGTTTATTAACTCCGACTATGAAAATGTAATTAATTCAAATATATTTCAGAGAAATACTAGCCAACTAACACTATACCAACTCCTTTTCTTCTACAGAGTAAGTCCTTCTTTTGAAAACATGGTGCCTTCACGGCAGAAGATCCTACCTGCCTGGATATATGCCATAGTATTTTGTAAATGAATGTGTCACTAAATCATCTGTAACAAGAAGTTAATAAGTTCTGTTTTTTGTGTTTTAAAGGGAGCAGCCCATCTTCAGTGCCAGAGCTCATGTCTTCCAGATTGATCCAGCCACCAAACGCAACTGGCTACCAGCCAGCAAACACGCCGTCACAGTCTCCTTCTTCTATGATGCCAGCCGCACCGTGTACCGCATCATCAGTGTGGGCGGGACTAAGGTTGGGACCCCACCACACATATGACTACCCAGATACACATGCATACATGCTACATCATACGTTTACATCACACACGGACATTTGTAATAGTGGATGTGCAGGCCAGAGACTCGTGAGCTGTTATAGGAGACAGAAGAAGACCGAAGGCAAGGAAAGGTCAGAAAAAGCCAGTTGGTGTCAAAGGTAGTGGGGATGAAACTTTTCACTTGTCAGAAACTAACAGCCTGGAGTTGTTGCAGCAGACTTTCTAACTGGGGCGACTGTGGTTCAGGAGGTAGAATGGGTAATTGGAAGATCGGCGGTTCAATTCCCGGCACCTCCAGACTGCATGTCCTTGGGCAAGATACTGAACCCCGAATTTCCCCTGTTCCATTTGTGTGTGAATGTTAGTTTCCTTTCTGAGCCCATCCCTTAAGCTCAGTGTGTGAATGTGATGTAGTGTAAAAGCGTTTTGAGTGGTCAGAAGACTAGAAAGGCGCCATACAGACCATTTACCATTTCTTCACTGGAAGCCACAGAACATACACATATTGTTATATAGCATTTCTAGCAGGTCAAGGCACAAAAGTTATTCTGCTTAAATTTATTTTAAGAGGAAAAATGTTAAGTAGGAGACTAATAAATTGTTCTTTAAACCACATTTTCAAGTCTTTTCCAGCATTGATTGATCCTAAGTTGGTCTATTTAACAAACTTGATATATTTTTTGATTGGGTTTCTATCAAAGAAAACCAGCACAAGATGCAGTGGGACTGCAGGAAAAATCTAATCAAGCTTTAATTGAACTTCTGTAGCAATATGCACCTTGTTGCACTCAGCAGTACGTTAATAATATTTTCCTCATATGGTATTAGTATTATATAAGTGTAGGGACTCTTCATTTGTGTAGTATCATATCCTCCTGACTTGCATTTTATTTAGCCCACTCTGTGCAGCCCATCCCAAGATGCTTAAAATGAAGGGAAATAAATCTGTTTTCCATTTGGTTGTGGCTGTCATGGGTGGGGATGCATTGGTCAGAGTTGCACATTGTCAGCAGAATATTTATAACACACACATATCTTGTTAGCGACTAAATAAAACTCAGAGAAAATGCTGCGCTTTGTAGTTATCAGCCAATTCTGCCAATTTACCGCACTGAGACTTGAGGCTTTTGGAGAAGAGACCAAAGAAATCTGCATTTGGCAACAAATTCACCTAATCAGACTGTTCACTTGAGAGTGTTACTGAATAGATCGCACACCACAACAAGCTTTTTCCCATAGCTCTTTCTCTAGCCTGGTTGTTAGATATTTTGTCTTTATTTGCAACCATAGGTCTCCAGTAGTCCTCCATAATGTTTTTTTTAACTGTAAGTTACAAACCTGCAAATGTTTTAGATTTTAAAGACTATATGATCTAAATGTGACATGTGGTTAATGTTCCCATGCTGTTTATTTTTTCTAATGAACAATCCTAAAGAAAACCATAGAACTCCAAGCCAACAGCACCCTGTTCACTGTAATGAGCTGCTACATAGTGAATAGTTGCCCGCTTGATAATCAGATGAAAATCAGCATATTTGCCGGTCAAGTAGATACAAATGAAAATTAACAGTGGGCTGGAATGAAGTTGACATTTAAAGGTGACAGAAATTATTAATGTTCTTTTTGTTGGTTCTGGATATTGTTAATTCTTTGTCAAAGAAAATGACCTTTTGAAAACAGGCTTTTTTAGCACGTAGCTTAATAAATGCATACAAGTCCATGCAAGTGCAGCAATTGAAATATGAATAATAAATGTGTTCCAGTGAAAGAATGAGCTTTTCTTTATAGCAAGAAGTTATTTATATATCTTCTGTATTTATTTGCAGGATCATGTCGTGTCCCATTTTTCCTACTTGGATAGTTTATCTACTTTTGTGTTTCATGGTATTTAATAATTTTTTTTTTCCCACAAGGCCATCATCAACAGCACCATCACCCCCAACATGACCTTCACCAAAACCTCCCAGAAGTTTGGCCAGTGGGCCGACAGCCGGGCCAACACCGTCTATGGCCTGGGCTTTTCCACAGAGCAGCAGCTGCAGCAGGTAAACACCACTAGCACACACACCACGGCAACATTCAAACAAAATACTTCAAAGAGTCTTTCATTTAGTAGATATGACACAAAGAGGGTTATGGGGAAAAAGATAGACAATGGGAGCAAGAGGGGACTGTGGCCCCATTTTCAATTCCTCTTTTATACAGATTCTGTCAGTGTCAAATTCAGCAGAATTACGTCTACAGTGTACATATGGAAATACAATTTATTTTTACCTCACCATGATGCAGATTTTCATACATTTCCTCTTATAATATTTATTTATCTCAAAGATTTAAATTTTAATTTGCAATTTAACTTGAGCTGTCATCAAGAATGAGTGCAAAGTAAGTTTAAATTACTGCATTAAAAGTACAAATAAAGCACAAAAAGAGGTCAGAAGTCACAGCACCTGAAGTGGAACAAATATTCTTTTACCCCAGAATACATGTTTACTGAGTACCAAAGGATGATCTGAAACAGTAATTTAGGGATGATGTGATATGATGTGTCTGAGTTTTCAGGTTATCTTGTCTGACTTCTGTCTCTTCTTTTCCTGCACCTGCAGTTTGCAGATCAGTTTAAGGAGGTAAAGGAGGCAGCCCGTCTGGCCAGAGAGAAATCTCAGGAGAGGTTTGAGCTGGCCAACCCTGCGCTCAACATTGCAGCTCCAGAGGTAAAGCGCTGCTCTACTTTCTTAAAGCACTCGTTTGGCTACCCATACCAGTTTTCTTAGTTATTTTGGCTGATCTCCCAGGTAGAAAATGGAAACTCCATATACTCAATATAATCAAAATAATAAACAACAGATCTGAAAAAAATATCAAAGCAGTCAATCAATTATTATGCTCTGTAAATGCCGAGCTCTAATCAGCCAAAATAATTAAGTGATAAGGGAATATTTACATTACACTTTTCATCTCAAAACCTACTTTCCATAGACCTCATAGCTAACAGTTATTGTAAGGAACTATTTTCTTCTGAAAGGAAAAACTATCCTGAAAACAGTCCTTCTTATACTAAGGAGTCAGGACATTGTTTCTGGAAAGACACATTGCTGTTGAATTTCTTAAATTAAGTTTTGAGATGCTTTGAGCACCACAGATAAGCTCCATTTACCTCCAGTATATTGGGGTGGTGGGAGTCTCAAGTGGCAGAGATTTCCAAACCTCAGCAAAAAGAACCCCAACTATCTGCATGGAGGATAGTGTCATTCCAACTTATATAAGGAGCAAAATAACCTCTACCTCTTGACTGCAACTATTTGTGCAGTCAAGGGAACTGCTACTGCTGGTAATAATTTTAAAAACCACTGGTTTTATACCATAAATAAATTTTCAAAAGCTTACAGTGCAAGTGTTCGCTAATGAGACTTTAGAAGAAAAGTCTAAGTAAAGTCTGCCTTTAAATAAGAAGTTCAGGTTGGAGAAACTGAACCTGTGACCTTGAAGTGATACACTGGTCTCTGTAACCCCCAGGCCAATACGACAGAGCGGAGCAGTAATATCCCAATGAACTCAGTGCCTTTGTTTCTATTTTAAACATACACAGAAGCATGAGGGATTAGACGGATGTCCATCTGGCGGCTCCATTATTCTCGCATTGGTTAACCCCATTAAAAGATTTCATGCATGACAAATGGAGATGGGAAGCAGAAAGAGATGCGAGCTCTGAAGGTGTTTGGAGGGGCAGTAATGGCTGGGACTGAAAGGAAGAAGAAGGAGGGCTCAGGAGAATGGGGAGGAAAGAAAGGAGATGTGGGGACAGAGAGAGGGGAGCTGAATCATCAATAATTGAAGTGAATCTGGCTGCTGCTGAAAGGACAATGGCCAGCTTTTATCCTGCCGCGGTCTGTGATTTCTTGGTGGACTTGATAACACTGAGGACCAGCTGGAGAAGTGAAAGCTCGCATGCAGTGGAAACTTTTCGTCCTTCACCTTTTTTCCACAAGTAGATTATAGGACACGTATTTTTAATGGGACAGCTCTTCTGACATTTACAACACAAGTAGTACACACTCTGTTTGGGTGGCTGTGATCAAACATGGAGGGCAGTGTCCCAAAAGTCAACACATGGCAGTGTCACATGATGACTCAACTTTTGCTTCAGTTTGGCTCTACTAATCTTGTTTATTTAGTAGGCCTGCCACGTATCATCAGTGAGTGTGTTGGTTGTTGTGGTGACATGAATTCATAACAGGCTAAACTCTGTGTGTGTGAGTTGCACAGTGTAGAAGTCCAAACAAGGAGCCACTCAGCAGGTCTGAGAGACTGCAGAGTCACGCTGCCAACTGTGTCCCCAGCTCTGAGACACTCAGATAAGAGCTGATGGTTTGTCTTGTCTGTTTATTTGGCGAGGCAGAGAGAAATGATACGACAAAACAGAGCATCAATACCGAGAAGGTCAACGGCACAAGAAGTCCAGTGGAAAAATTGAACAATATTCCATCAAACAAGCTGACATTTAATGTTAAAGTTCTATTAAATATTGTTTCCATCGAGGCCATGGGAGCATTGATCCTGGACTGAGCTGCACAGAAGGAGGTCAAAGGGCAACTTTGATCAGTAATGTCCCCCTGATTTACCTTCGATCATTAAACTTAATTTAATTAGTGTCTGTTCGTCTGTGATTCAGTTTTAATGTGTTCAAACTTAAGTTACTCTTTTGATCACTCTAATATCTGTAGCTTTCTTTTTGCTAATAAATACTGTATACTTGCTCCTGCATGCCTCTGCTTTGGCTGGCAAGATTTCCTGCACAGTAAACAAACATACTGGTATTCTTATGTTTAAAAAATATATAAAAGGAAGACAATAAATAAATAAATAAATAAATTAATTAATTAATGTGTCTCTGAGGAATTGAAGTAGGAGCACCTGAAGTCATGACTGCAGTATATGTGTGTCTCCACACACAGGTCAGTGTCAGTGACAGAACAGCAGGCAGAGGTGTTACATTCTTACATCCCATCATGCATTCATACATGCTAAATCGATAAATCAAGTGCATGCACGCACACGCACACGCACACACAGAAACAAGAAACATCACCTAAATACAGCTGCAGTGACGTCAGACCCAGGCGAGGAACATCCTCTAGTGATTTGTACATGAGACAGCAGTCATTGATTTTGTTTCGTGCAGTAAACTGAGAGCAGTGTGGAGGTGTTGTTGTGGTTATTATCACATCTTCTAACTCACCGCTGCACAGTGTAAAACACCATACTGCTGACTGTCTGAACCTGTGTAATACAGAAATAGTACCCTAATCAAAGCTGTTATGGAGTGTGAGTACGTGAGGTTATTGTATGAATGAACTATTGACCACTATTGATGGCTGCCCCAGTGTGGCTGTAATGCCAGTTAAAAGCTACGTTAAGGCTTTTACATACCAAATTATGTGTACTGTTGCTTTCCACAAATACATGGTCATGTTAT